AGTCAATCTAGCGGGTATTTGATTATGCGTAGTATCTTTTCACTATTTCTGCATTGACGGGGTGAGGAAGGTCGTCACCATCCATGGTGGTTAGAATCATAGCTCCTCTTGAGAAAATGTTCTTAACCACAAATGATCCTTCGTAAGTAGGGGTCCATTTGCTCCTGGGATCACCTTGAGGTAAGATAATGCGCTTGATGACCAGATCCCCGACTTGATACTCTTGTCTTCTAACTTTCTTGTTAAATGCCTTGATCATCCGTTTTTGATACGTCTGACCATGACAAATAGCAGTAAGTCTCTTTTCGTCGATTAGGTTCAGTTGATCAAGCCGGGTCTGTATCCAGTCATCTTCGCTCAAACCTGCATCCTTCATAATCCGAAGAGAGGGTATCTGAACTTCAATGGGCAAGACTTCCTCCATGTCATATACCAAGGAATAGAGTGTTGCCCCTGTTGACGTCCGCGCTGAGGTATGGTACCCATGAAGAGCAAACAGTAGCATCTCGTGCCAATCCTTGTATGTCACTGTCATCTTCTGCACAATCTTCTTGATGTTCTTATTAGCCGCTTCCACAGCCCCATTCATCTTCGGTCGGTAGGGAGAAGAGTTGTGATGTTGTATCTTGAACTGCTTGCAGAGCTCAGTGATCATCTTATTGTTGAGATTTGTACCATTGTCCGTAATGATCCTCTCTGATACACCATATCGACAGATCAGATTGTGTCGAATGAACCTTGCCACGACATTTTTGGTTACAGTAGCAAAGGAAGCTGCTTCAACCCACTTTGTAAAGTAATCAATAGCTACCAGGATGAAACGATGCCCGTTGGATGTCGTAGGTCTGATCTCGTCGATCATGTCGATGCCCCACATTGCAAAAGGCCACGGAGCTGTCAAGACGCTCAGAGGTACTGGAGGTATGTGCACCTCATCAGCATAGACTTGGCACTTGTGACAGGTCCGAGAATGCTGATAACAGTCGGCTTTCATTGTGGACCAATAATATCCTGCCCGAAGGATTTTCTTTGCCATGGTGTGTCCACTGGAATGAGTTTCGAAAGTACCTTCATGTAAATCTACCATGATCCTTTCTGCCTCGTTCTTATCCACACATCGCAATAAGGTTGAATCATGGTTACGCTTGTAAAGGATGTCATTGCTGATGAAGAACTTCGCCGCGAACCTCCTCAGAAACTTCTTATCATTAACAGATGCATCCTCGGGGTATTCCTGAGCTTCAAGATACCTCTTCACCTCATGAAACCAGGGTTTATCCGCTACCTCTTCAGTCTCAATGTCACAACAATGTGCAGGTTCGTCCAACCTTTCAATGATAATCCGGGGAGCCTCGTTGTCCCAATTGACTTTGAGCATAGAAGACATCGTAGCTAGCGCGTCCGCCAACTGATTCTCCTCTCTAGGGAAGTGTTCAAAGGTTATCTCCTCGAAGTGGGGAAGTAATGTCAACACATACTCCTTGTAAGGAATAAGATTAGGGTGTTTCGTATCCCACTCGCCTTTGATCTGACTGATCACGAGAGCGGAATCTCCGAAGACACTTAGAAACTTAATCCTTAGGTCAATAGCTGCTCGAAGACCCATGATGCATGCTTCATACTCCGCCATATTGTTGGTGCAGTTGAAACATAGTCGGGCGGTGAACGGAGTATGAGAGCCTTTAGGAGATATGATCACGGCGCCAATGCCATTACCCAAAGCGTTCGAAGCTCCATCAAAGTACACAGACCATCGGGATCCTTCCTCAGGTCCTTCATCCGGTCCAAGTGTCTCACAATCAGTTACCAACATGATATTCTCATCCGGGAATTCAAAGTTCATAGATTGGTCGTCATCCACTGTCTGATGTGCCAAATGGTCTGCCAACACACTTCCCTTAATTGCCTTTTGGGTCGTGTATTAGATGTCATACTCAGTCAAGATCATCTGCCATCTTGCTATTATTCCGGACAAGGCAGGCTTTTCGAAGATATACTTGATTGGATCCATCTTTGATATCAATAGGGTAGTGTGAGTCAGCATATACTGTCTCAGCCGGCGAGCAGCCCATGCCAAAGCGCAACAAGTTTTCTCGAGCAGTGAGTATCGGGTTTCACAGTCGGTAAACTTTTTGCTAAGGTAATAAATAACATGCTCTTTTCGGCGAGACTCGTCATGCTGCCCCAGCACGCACCCCATTGAGTTGTCGAGTACTGTAAAGTATAAGATCAAAGGTCTCCCTTCAACTTGAGGCATCATAATAGATGGCTTTTGGAGATACTCTTTAATCCTTTCGAAAGCGGCCTGACATTCATCATTCCATCTTAATGATGAATGTCAGGCCGCTTTCGAAAGGATTAAAGAGTATCTCCAAAAGCCACCTATTCTGATGCCTCAAGTTGAAGGGAGACATTTGATCTTATACTTGACAGTACTCGACAACTCAATGGGGTACGTGTTGGGGCAACATGACGAGTCTGGCCGAAAAGAGCATGCTATTTATTACCTTAGCAAAAAGTTTACCGACTGTGAAACCCGATACTCACTGCTCGAGAAAACTTGCTGCGCTTTGGCATGGGCTGCTCGCCGGCTGAGACAGTATATGCTGACTCACACTACCCTATTAATATCAAAGATGGATCCAATTAAGTATATCTTCGAAAAGCCTGCCTTGTCCGGAAGAATAGCAAGATGGCAGATGATCTTGACTGAGTATGACATCCAATACACAACCCAAAAGGCAATTAAGGGAAGTGTGTTGGCAGACCATTTGGCACATCAGGCAGTGGATGACTACCAGTCTATGAACTTTGAATTCTCGGATGAGAATATCATGTTGGTAACTGATTGTGAGACACCTGGACCGGATGAAAGACCTGAGGAAGGATCCCGATGGTCTATGTACTTTGATGGAGCTTCGAACGCTTTGGGTAATGGCATTGGCGCCGTGATCATATCTCCTAAAGGCTCTCATACTCCGTTCACCGCCCGACTATGTTTCAACTGCACCAACAATATGACGGAGTATGAAGCATGCATCATGGGTCTTCGAGCAGCTATTGACCTAAGGATTAAGTTTCTAAGTGTCTTCGGAGATTCCGCTCTCGTGATCAGTCAGATCAAAGGCGAGTGGGGCACGAAACACCCTAATCTTATTCCTTACAAGGAGTATGTGTTGACATTACTTCCCCACAAATGAAAATCAAATTAAAAAGGATAATTGGATACACATTCTTTTGATCTTCGAATAAATCGAACGTAAAATGTACACTTGATGATTCATCTTTGGCTAAAAATTCATAATCAAATTGGATTAAAAAAGGACAATCGGATGTACATCCGCTTGATCCTCGAGTAGTCGAACATAATGTGTATACTTTGTCTAAATCGGCACCCGTCTTCCACAAATATGACTTTTATAAATAATTGGATTAAAAAAGGAAAATTAGGTGTACACTCTTTTTATCTTCAAGTAATCAGACAAAAGTACACTTTGTTTCAACCGATTATTTGTCTTCTGTTTAAAAACAATTTCAACCAATCAAACCTACATTTTTCGCCCAAGCACGATTAACAAAATTTTTTCCCATAAAAGAATAATGTTTTATCCATCTCGATGCGAAGCACAAACAAACGCTTCAATTCTCTCATGCACGAATAACAAGAAATATTTTCCGCTCGAATGCGATGAAAACATAATCTGAGAGTTTCCAGATCAAGTTATCCATTCTGACGCGAAGCAAAAAACGTTCTCTACTCCCCTATATGGGGAGCGAGCAATGTTTTCGGCTTGAATGCGACTTAAACATCTTTTACTAAAATAAACCAATCAATAAATATTTGCTTCTTAAAATTATGTATTTTTGAGTTCCCCATCGCACCTACAGATACGTAGGAGCGAGATTCAACGTCTCATCAAACACCATAATGAAATCCTTCTCTAAAGTTTTTTCTTTTTTTAAAAATGTTTTTAATAATAACAAATTCAAATATTTTAAAACTAACATTTTTCAAAACTAATTAAGTGGTTCCCGTTAGTTATATCAGATGTTGCGGGGTGCTATTACTTTTCTTGCGTATAACCGACTCCTAAACCAGAATTTGATTGTAATAATAATATTTTTATTCTTCAGGGTTTTATAGATCTTTTTCCATTAAAAATAAAACTTCGATAGCGACTCTTATTGATTTCGAACGTTCACCCGTTTAGATATTTTCACATTGCGATAAAAATGAACTGATTAATTGTATTTCAATATCTCAAATTAACAAAAATACACAAAAATATAATATAAAACCTACTTCATTCCGCTCTGTCCACTTCATCCCGTTAAGTTATATTTCACTGTTTCTTCTAGTCTATCAATCCAAATATAACTCCATGCTTTTGTAACCACTGTTTAAAAGCTTACAAAGCTCTCGAAGGTCATAGGAATAATCCGCTTAAGACGTAGGAATTATCTAGAGGCAACGAAGTAGAGCAGTGTGGCTTCGAGAAGGGGATCAAAACATGAAGTTTTTCCATATGGCAACGTAACTCACCGTTGGAAAACAAACTCCATTGTGAAATTGAAGGATGAAAATGGCTGCTGGTGGAATGGGGAAAATCACTGTGAGCAAATCCTCGTTAACTACTTCAATGATATTTTCTCGACCTCCTCTCCCACTAATATCCACACTGTTTTGTGAGGTCGTTCAAAGAAAACTCAAGAGTGAGCATAAACTGTGGTGTGAAGAGATTTTTACGGCTCAAGAAGTTGAGGAAACAATTTTTTAGATGCACCCCTTAGAGGCACCTGGCCCAGATGGTTTTCCAGCTCTATTCTTCCAAAAATTCTAGCATGTAGTGGGAAATGAAGTAACGAAGATGGTGTTAGATGTGCTGAACTAAGGAAAATACCCTAATGATATCAACAAGGGCTTCATTGCCCTTATTCCAAAGTGTAAACATCCAATCAACTCGAAGGACTTATGACCCATCAACCTATGACACGTTATAATGAAAATAGTTACTGAGGCTATTGAAAATAGGTTGAAGCGTATCTTCTCCGAGATCATTGATGTTGAGCACACTGTTTTCGTGAAGGGTCGCCTTATCACCAACAACACCTTCATAGCAATGGAGTGCTTACATTGGATGAAAAATAAAACAAAAAAGAAGGGTATCATGTCATTTAAACTTGACATGTCAAAAGCTTATGATATGATCAGATGGAGTTTTGTCAATGGAGTTTTGGAGGCAATGGGTTTTCCGAAGACTATCGTAAATCTCATCAGAAAGTGTGTTTCTTTATTGTCATACCAAATTCTAATCAATGATCAACCAAACTAGGTTTTTTTCTGAGAGAGGGTTATGTCAAGGAGACTTTCTCTCCCCTTACATGTTTATTTTGTGTACAAATGTGCTATCTAGATTGTTGAAGAAGGAGGTGGAGACAAACAATATTCATGGGATCCAAGTTACGAGAAAGGTACCCTAAATCTATCACTTGTTTTTTTAGATGACATCTTACTCTTTGCTCGTGCAAAAGCCAAAGAAGCGGGCAATATCATGGAGATTCTTGCAAAGTATCAGAGTTTCTCCGAGCAAGTGGCTAAGTTGGATAAATCAGAGGTGTCTTTTAGTCGAAATATGTTGATGAAGTCAAAGATATGATCCATAATAGAATGAGAGTAAAGACTATGACTAGCCATACCAAATACCTAGGGCTTCCGGTAGTGTTTGGTAGATCCAACAAGGAAATTTTTTCCTTTGTCATTGACCGTGTTTGGAAGAAACTAAAAGGATGGAAGGAACAATTCATATCCCTACCTGGAAAGGAAGTCTTAATCAAGACAGTTGCACAAGCTATCACAAGTTACATAATGAACTGTTACAAACTTCCAAAGAGTTGTTGCAATGAAATTGAGAGCATGTTGTCCATATTTTAGTGGGGTTCGAAGGAGGACGAGAGGAAAATTCATTGGATGAGTTGGGAGAGAATGGAAATGACAAAAGGTAGAGGAGGTATGGGCTTTCAAGGATTCAGTGATTTCAACACAAGCTTATTGAGGAATCATTATTGGAGGCTCTTGATAGGTGGAAATACTCTTTTGGAGCAAGTTTTTAAAGGGAGATACTATCCTAGGACAACTGTTGGTGAAGCAAAGCTTGGTTTCTCTCCAAGCTACGTTTGGAAAAGCATACCAAGTGCAAAAGATGTAGTTTCTAAAGGGATTAGATGAAGGATATGCAATGGTCAACATGTTAGAATTAAGAAAGACAATTGGATGCCAAAAATAGTGGGGTTCAAAGTTCATAGCTCAATTTGTTGCCTTGACAATTAGGCCATGGTCTGTGATCTCATTAATCAAGACTTGGGCATTTGAAAAAGAGAGCTACTTGAGGAGTGCTTAGACCACATGGACATGCGACTAATCCATAAAATTCCCCTGTCTCCCCAGAAGACTTGAAGACAAAATTATTTGGCATTTTGAGAAGCATGGAGATTACACTTTAAAATCTTCTTATCACCTTCTTGGAGCCGAAAAACAGAGGCATTGTCCAGGTCCTTCTAATACCCCAAACCATCAACTATGGAAGAAAATTTGGAACGCACCAGTACATAATAGGATAGGAATTTCACGTGGAGACTTGGAAAAAAATATCCTCCCCACCAAGAGAAACCTTCAAAATAAGGGAGTCGGGTTAGACAATCTTTGTCTGTTGTGTAACTCCTCCTGAGTCAGTTCAACACCTCTTTATGTAAAGTGAACTTGCAAAACTTGTCTTCTTCTTCCCTCCATCGGGTATTCGCATCCGTACTGAATTTGTTCTAATTGACTGGCTGACTTATATGTTAAACTGAAAGGATCAATTTGGAGTCCAATTATTTTTTACTAACCTCTGCAAAATTTGGAGCGCAATAAATCACTTATGTTCAGGAACAAACCATTTGACACTCAGGCTGTGATAAGAGAAACCCTTGACCATGTCTTGGAATTCAACAAAAATAACTTAAAGATGTGGTTCAAGAAACGGTTGGTGCAGAGGGGTGATATGGACCCTCGCGACCATGGAATGAATTTAATACAGGTGTGTCGCGGTGAAAAATTGGGAGAACAAGCTATTGACTAACTTGACTCACAAATTTAAGAAGTCACCGCTGAACTTTATTGTTTCCAAGGAAAAGGGAAAATATCAAAATCCTAATTTAACAGGCAATGCAAGAAGCAACAACTAAAATCAAAGCATAAAGAAGAGATCTAAGGTACAGGGGTTGGTTATACAAAGAGAAGGTATTAGCACCCTATGTATCTATACTAATCTATAAGAAACTCTTGTAATATCTGTTTTTTTTTTGTTAAAATGGGTTTGTTTTCTAAAAGAGTGTGGAGATGGAAAAAGAAATATATTTTATTATATTTTTGTTTGGAAAAACATAGTCTTATACCTACGTACCCATGAAGGATAAAAACCTCGTAGTTCGTGGTAAAAATAACAAAAGGGTTTGTTGTGATTGATTATAGGAGAAGAGACATTTCATCATCTTAAGGAGAATACTCAACTAGTTCCACCACAAGTATGAGAAGATGAATCTTGCATCATCATAAATGAAGGGATCTTAACTTGGATATAAGATCAATAAGTTGTCACTGGCTCCCTCAAGTGAAAAGAATCACATTTACTTCAATCATTACTATGGGAATATGAGAGTTATATCTCAACTATGAAGATGACTTATATCTAATCTCTTTGAGAAAAGATTTTAAATTGAAAATTTCAAGTGGCAAAAAGATTTGGGTGAGGTTGAATCACTTTTAGTCTTTTTAAATTGTTTAATAAACTTAAGTTTACTGAAGCTTTTATTAAAGAAGAAAGTTTGAAAATGCAATGACAAAGTTAAGGTTTTTTAAGAAAGTGGTTTAAATTTGAATTTAGGGTTTAAGTATAAAGTGTAAACACAAAAAATTACAAGGATAATATACAACAGGTAAAAACATAAAGATGAATCTAAGATATACATATGTACATGAAATTTAAGTCAACAATACTATTCTTTTTCTGGGATTTGAACATAAGTACTAATAAAAATATAAATAATTACTACAACAAAGAGAAATCACATATGTCATAAATGTTAAGGACAAGATCACAAAGTAGCATGACTATTAAGAGAGTCATTTAAGAAAAAAAATGTTAAACCAAGGAATTTAATCAATCAAACCATAAGTCAAAGACAAAGAAACTATTTTTTACAATCTCAAAGTAATACATGGGAAGAATAAAAGATGGACAAGCATCAAGTGTGCATTCAACAATCAAGAGTTTATGAAGGAAATATCAAAACATGCTAATATAAACCATTAAATCAAATGACTATTATGGTATTGAAAGAAAGTAAACAAGCATGCTATCATTCATCAAGCATAAGCATTTTCTCAAGCAAGAACAAACAATGAAGCACTACAAGATAGAGTATCAAGGCATTCATGTCATAGATTTAACAATCAACTTTAAACATCAAGATGTTTTAAATATGATAAGCATCAAAGTTTTAGAATCAAACAAAGTCATTGTATCAAAGTTAGGAGAATATATGAACATGTGATCAAAGAAAACATAAACTCATAACAAATACTCATCAATACATCATTATGGATGGAAGGAAAAGAAAGAAACATCAATATCATGCATCAAAGGCAAGGGGAAAATATCATGATCAAAATAGAGTTTCAAAGTATCAAAGGCAAAGTTTATTCATTAAAGTTTCCTAAACCATAGGTAGAGATCAATTTAACATGTCATAAAAATCATCAAGAAGCACACAATCAAATAATAGTATGGCCACATATTTAATTTAGTCAATGAATCAGTCAAAGGAAATTAAGAAAAAGCCTAAAGATTTATACAAAGGACTGGTTTGAAACCTAAATAAAAATAGACAAAACAAATATTATATTTGAGTATTTTTCATAGATTAATAAAATACATAGGTAAACAAACATATGTGCAAAAAAAATCAATTAAAAAAAATCAAGTTTGCATAAAGAAAAGTTAAAGAGAAAAATGAAGAAAAATATGAAACGGAAAGAAAAAGGAAAAAAACAAAATGGTGGGAATGACTCCACCAAGGGTTGAACCTGAGCCCTGTACATCACACACACACACACACACACACACACACACACACAAAACCTTACCCAACTGCGCTACCCTTTCATTCATGAATAACACACCTTCAGTTAAATATGTGATGAAACAAGTTTAACATTCTAAAAGAAAATGAAACAAAACAAAAAGGATTGGAATGACTCCACCAGGGTTCATACCAGCTCCCTCTACCTCACACACACAAAGCCTTACCAACTGTGCTACCCTTTCATTCATTACAAACACATGATGCATTAAATATACAATAAACTAATTATTTAAAAATGAAATCCACGCGCATGCTTCATCATCTTCAATCTTGAGATAACATTGATGGTGATTTTCGAATCTCCTCATTTCTTAACCAAATCAAAAGATGTAAAAACCAAAATTTCTCAAAATTTAACAAGGAGTTCAAAAATATCCATTTCATAAATTAATATCAACCGTAGCTCATGAATTTTACTCAAAACCAGAAACCCTAAGTTTCTTCAAAGTTAAATTAAATGATGAACAAACTCAACGAATGCCTATTTTCATAAGGCTTTCACTCATGACATTTAAACACACAAAATAGTATCAAGAAATGTTCAAAATAATGCTTGTAATATGAAGTTCAAAGTACACAAAATCTTACCTATTGGAGCAAGGTCCAACACCTATTTTAGGTACTTTCATAGGTGCCAAGCGATCACCTTAGCTTGTATGATATCCCAAGAACATAATGCAACCTTTAATTTGATTTGAAACTATATCAAACTCCCTGACCAAATTCACTTATAGTGGTGAATGAGCACAAGTTGGGTGGAGCAATTGGGGTGTTCCAGTCGTGCAAGTGAGTTATGGTTCACTTATAGTGGACATATGGAAGGTGTTTGAAGTGGAGGTTTGAAGAATGCACGGTAGGATTGGAAGTTTGAAGTTTTAAGGTTTGGAATTTTGCAACAATGGAGTTTTGATGCAAATTTTGTGCGTGTTTGAGTTCTGAGCAAATATGGTTATTTATAGAGGATGTATTTGGTTCTCATAACTTGGAGAAATCATGTTTGGTTCAATTGGAGAGATGGTTTGGCCATGTTGGTTTCATGATGAAAAGGTGGAGTGAATCAAGGGCCTTGGCCACGCTTTCATGACTTTAGGAGGTTGCTTCTGGCTATAGAGATTGTATGCAATCTGAAGGACGCAAGTTGCAAGTTAAAAGGAGAGATTTGTTGGAAAAGTGGATCTTAATCTAAGTGGATACATGCTTTTTGAAAAATGCTCCAAATATGGTATCATGAAATGGTTAATAGCTCAATCTTTTTTTTTGTAATGCATTAAGGATATGTGTAATTTCTCAACTATGTTGATATTTGCAAGTAATATTTCTTGAAAAAAGAAGATTGTGTAGCTTAGGTGAAACAACCGGCAGAATAAATCATCGAGAGAAAATTAATGAAATCGCCATCAAACATTTTTTATCTCATAGGAAGAAAAAGGTAAACATGGACTAAACCTGAGAAGGGTGAAATCAACGTCTCACG